GAGAAGAAAATTAAACAATAAAATATTACATTAAATGGGGTCCACCTACATGATTCTACTTGGGTTGGAGAAGACTCGCTCTCGAATCTTTAGTCACTCATCCAACACATTATAGAGACGGTGATTCAACTAATATGTCAATGTCATAGATATTATCCATATATCTTGATTCTGAAGATCATGAAAAAAATTGTGCAATTAATTAATTTTTTTCACTTCTATCCCACAGTATCCCAACAAATTCACTGAAACATTCAGAGTTATTGCGTTGCAAAATTTTGGGATGTCCAAATGGTCCAAGTATATTTGATCCTATGACTAGTTCAACCATGTGGCCTTCTACTAGAAACTGACCATTTAAGTGTGAAAATTATTTCATTTACATCATAGTGGTTCCAATTTTACCAACTTCCATAATTTCATGATGATCATCTTTTGACATTGAGAATTGATTCTCAAAATCAGTAAGTTGATCCATATTCTTCCTCAACGATTTTGTGTCTGACTCCATCTTAACATCAGTACAACAATATGAATTGTTGTCCCCACGGGTGTTGCTCGCCAATCTCATAACCAACGTTAGCCCCCCAATTACCGGAACACTCTCTATCTCTGAGTTTTCCATTTGCAACATATCGACAGTCAAGCTCTCAACTAAACCCATCATTGCACCAGTCTCTTTTAGCCATAACATGCACGCCATGGCCACTGCCTCCTGCCTCTCGCCTATCGGCATAAAGGTCACTCACCATCTATTGTGGAGGGATAACCAATCTGGCCACCTTTTTGTGTCACAACCTCAGGATATTGACAAATTTGTATTAGCTCATGTCTACGGTTTTCATTACCAACCATGAAAACAAGACGTTTAACTTGTCCTCCTCGATCCATTGTTGGGACGATAGACTAACTATGATATCAACTAACACATGCGAAAGCTTAAACAATAACAAATATGGGGTTAAAAATGAAAATTCGCATACGAATTAATCATTTAGGTGGATAAATGAAAAAAAAATTCGAACTTTCTATTCATATAAAAAATCCACCACCATACAATTCAATTATAACACCAAATTTATTCAACACTTCTAACTAGCCTTTTATGCAAAACAAACTCAAGAAAAATTACTTATTTCGATTAAACTCCTAATCATAATAAAATGATAATAGACTAGTTAATTAAAAAAATAAAATTGAACAATATAATCTTAAATTAAACAGACTACTTGCATCATAGATTTAATTAGGCACATGGAGGAAACGTAAATCTGCAATTAATAAGCTGGAAACAATCTATGTGCAATATTTAAACTCATACGGCAATGTTTAAAATTGACTGCATTAATTCGATTTTGAAGTCTTATTTATCTTTATTTTCTTGTTATAATTACAGTATATGAAGCATAATCACGAACAACAATTTAAAGTTGAATTGTCTATAAATGGTATGTCTCACCTTAAGTCAGAAGGGAAGTTGCCCTAATTTGTTGGAATTCTCTGATTATTACGTTCTATGCCATTCAATTAGTTGCATCATGCTGCAGAATGATACATCGGGAAAAAATTTTCAGCTAATTAAACTAAGAGCAGATGAAATCAAAATCTAATACTTCTATAAATAGAATGAGAGTTTGCTATCAAATACACAACTCAAAGGTACGAATTAATGCATGTTTTGTAATCAATACGAAATTCAATAGTATGACGATTCTTTTTACTTTAGCAAATATATTCAATCATACTATATTCTAGAAGGTTAATTTAAAATGCGTGCAGCTGCACTTATGTGTTTGCACGAGACTGTTGAAATTATAGGAATTTGTTGTACACCAGGATGTTCTGACAGGGTTGACACCTCTTTACCACCCTCATCATCTACTGATCCCCAACCTTTTATTAGTAATACCAAAAAGAAGGAGTATATCAAAACTGAAGCAAGTAGAACTATATATTAGTTTTCAGTTTTTCCCTTTCAAGTGCCAGCTAAGAATTATAGGGACCTTGTGCATTTACGAGTGTGAAATATTTTCCTAGTGTCACTTTGGAACGTGGAATATATATTGGTTAACCATTTAAGCTGTTAGAAAACATAAATTAATAAGTGTCCTCGTAGATGTTGATAACTACTTGCAGAAAGATTCTTGATTCCATATATAGATGTTAGATGTTAAAGTTTGAAACTTCAATAGGTCTACGTCTTGTTTAAGCAATGGAAAAATCCAATATATCTGTGAGAGATAATATCTGATTGAATAGTAAGCCAATGGATTTTCTAGTGCAAGCTGGAATCAGTATTTTCATGTCGAACTGCAAGGCATGCACAAATTTCTTAATTGTGGGCAGCTAAAGACTTCAACTTAAGACATTGGCGTGATATGGTACCATTTTAAACTATATTATTTTAAAGCTTAAAGATATGGGGAAAGGAGTATGTTCTCGATAAGGCAATATTGGATAGGAAAACAACTAATATCTCACATGTTTAAGGTACATAGCATGAACCTTAAACAAAAAATAAAATACAACCAAGCCATCTCTCACAAAGGGTGCTATTGCACTCATGACTTATACTGCCGACAGTCCCACATTGACTCTCAAAATGAACATATTCAATAGCATTTGCCCACTATTAATGATCAAAAGATTTGTTGAAAACACCTCTGAGCTACGAGAATACTTTTTATTTTGTTCCATCCCTGTGTTCACATTTTTCTACATGATTATTGTTGTTCAACTATACATCATGCCCTGCCCCCTCCCCTTCACCAAAAGCTAGTTTGCAGAAGCACGCTGGAGAAAAACATTTGATATATATCAATGTATCCTTCGCCCCTAGTTTTGTTCGATTCTTTGTATAACACTTGTAGATTATTTGCATCCATATCCAAGCTACAATTCTCTACCTGATAATTTCCATTACTACCCAATTAATTCCTAGCTTCTCAAAAGAAGTTTTCTGTGGTTTTAGCCCATTAAAATCTTTAGTTTTTGACACAAAACTAGCTAAGAATTGAAACTCAGTAGCCAAAAGCATCAAAGCTTCGACCCCAGTAGCATGTTGTATGTGCGTGTTCAAGAGAGAGAAGAGAGGAAATTAGAGAAACTTGAACTAGAATAATGGATGAGTTTACCAGTAGCAGAAAAACAATTAGGGCAATCTCAGAATCAGAAAGAGTAGAGTTCTTGAGCCTTTTTCCAAACCCTTCTGCTTCTCATTGAAAAGGTCACTCTGCGTGCCATCAAGTTATCAATCTCCTTGATCTGAATCTTCTGTCTCACCATTTTCACAGTACATTCATTGCGAAAAAATATTAGCCCTTATATTTTAACCAAACATTGTCCATCAATCTATTCAAAAATATATTCTTTGCTAAAAATAGAGCTCAAATATATGTGTATGTTATTGGTACAATAAGAAATATATTTTGATTGTTCTTTGATAAAAATAAGGAAAAAAGAAACAAAGCATATTTTCACGGAATCTGAAACCAAAACCCAAAAAAATGGAAATCACCGTTAGAAGAATCATTGTGTCTTTTTGCAAAAATAGAATTCTTCGACGGTGTCAAATTTAATAATTCAGGGAAGAGACGAAAACCTCCACGTGCAGAAGTGAAACCCTAGAGAGAGAAAGTAGAGAGCATCTGAAATCAGTGAAGTGGCAGTGGAAGTATCAATAAAGTTGGTTTGCAAATTAAAGGTTGAACCACTCCTCAAGAGCTTTGTGAGGGAGGTAAATTGTGAGATGTATTCTAGCAGATCAAGAAATAAGAGTTATTTGTACACTGTGCCTACAAGTAGTTCAATTCCATGTCTCAAGATTCGAACTTCCACACTGCAACTGTCAGCAAGGTGTAAAATAACCTTACTCTTGTCCTTTTCACAACTGAATTATGCCCGGGGGCAAGTTGGTTTGCAAATTGCCAATGCGGATTGGAGAGAGAGGCATAGGTTTAAAGAAATTACCTTTACGGTACGTTGATTTTGTTGAACCTTAAAACTAACCACACTACTGAATAATATTCTACCAATGATAAACACTATATAATTAATTTATTTTGCTTGTATGCCTAATTCCACTATAATTAATTTGAGCTTATTAATTATTTTAACAGTTGTCAACTAATATTAAATTCAACTGAATTGTAATATTTGTACCTACTTTTATCTTAAATAAATAATATAAAATCTACTCCAAGAAAAATCAAAATAAATAAAGCCTAAATATGCATGGACCACGCCCCTCTTTGTCTACCATTAAAGTAGAAGAAAGAGTTTTAAAATAGTGAATTTTTATAGAATGTACGGTTAAAATTGTGAAAAGAATTTGAATTTACGTACAAAATATTTTATTGTAAGAGTACGTAATTGAAAATGAACATAAGGAGGGAAAAAAAAGTTATAAAATATTGATTGACAAACAGGGACTTAAGTTCTCTAGTGATTGGAGAAGGATAAGAGTCTGGATGTATTAGCAATTGCGTCTAAACCATAAAAGTCAAATTAAAAAGATGACATTTTTTTTTCTTTTATCAAAATAACCTTTCTAATTGACAATATAAAATGTCAATTTAACATTTTTTTTTTTTTTAAATCGCCCAACTGACCGCAGTCAAATTTCAGTTCATCCCTGTTCAAAAATCAGAACAAGATTGTCTTCGATTTCATGTGTTAAGAAATCAAAATTTCACTTTTATATACCTCGTAAATTTCCTTGGATAGTATGATTTCAATAGCATGATTTCCGCATAAATGTATGGCACAAGCAAATTCAAAACAGAAGATTTAGATGATCAGAAGCCACGTAAATCCACAACATT